TCAAAGGGAGATCTTTGAGAGGTGTCATGGTTAGTACTGGAATCTCGAGACTCATCCCCGGCGAGAAGTGTCCAATAGAGGAGTAAATTTCAAAGCAGATTTAACGCCAGATGGGAACCGTCGTACGCCGCTGGGGCTTAACCCTAAGTGTCTGGCAGTCGAAGGGTCGTTTAAGATAATCTTTTTCAATTCAGGAGAGAATTCCGGTTACAATGCAGATCCAGAGTGTAGCCAATGGGAGTTCAGGAGACTCAAATTAAGAAGAGAGAGACTTCAGATGCCTGCCCTGGGAACCTCCCTCTTAATACCGCGCGTCAAGAGTGAGCGCTGGGGGCGACCGAAGCCTGGCCGCTCCCGGGCTCCGCAGCGCCCCCGAGGGGCCGCGGCCGGTGCTGCGTGAGGGACTTCCCGCCGGCCGCTGAGCAGGGGAGCCCGCAGGTGTCCCCCAAGGTCCCGGAAAGGAGCCCTAGCTCCTCTCACCCAGGCCTTCTTTGTGGAGGATCACGAAGTTGCACACCCAAGAAGCAGAGTTACCGGTTTGTTTGGGGGCCGGCACTTGGCTGCTACAGCTTCCAGCCAGCCCGGGGCCTCGTTTGTGGTAATCACGCCCAGGTGTGGAATGGGTGAAGGCAGGAGTGAATTCTGAGGCTGAGAGAAGCAAGGTGGAGCTGCTGGACTACAGATGTGGAGGCCAAGACTCGCTTCCCACACGCACCCACGCGCTGAGGGCCAGGTGCAGGAGCACACAGCGGCTGGGCACATCCCCCTGGGGCCCACACAGGTGCGTGTGCAGCCTCTGTGGTGTAGCCCCCAGGCTCCCAGCCCAGGTCCGCCGCGGGCTCAGCACCAGCCCTGGATTTCCACAGCTCTCTCCCTTCTAACACCTCGGCTGTTGCACAACTCCTCCCCACCCCACCCCCAGCCCCAGGGTCTCCTCTCTCTTCTCCAAGTTGTCATCCATGGTGGTGCAGCTGGAATCCTTCCCTTGCACAAAGTCCCTGATGCTCCCCAAGGCCCTGTCCAGGCCTCCTTCTCCTGCCACCACCCCAGGCCTGGGGACTAGCCGGCTGCTGGTTTTTGCCGGGGGCTCCTCCGCCCGGATGGGAACCACAGCCAGCCTCTCCCAGGTGTGTGTGGCGTGGAGAAGGTATTTATTGCCTTCTTATCAGGATGGACAAAGCTGTGAGTAAGCACTGACTACGTGACTGTCTGACTGAAGGGGCGGAGATGACTGTGGCCGGGCGCAGGGTCCAGGGACAGCAAGGACACCAGTGCTGGGCTTGGTGACTCCAGCCTGGCTGAAGTTCCCAGGCTCCTTGGGGACCTTGAGCTCATGGGTGACCCCTGGCTGAGGAGCAGAGCACAACCAGAGGCCAGCGGGGTGAGGAGCCAGGGGTGTGGGACTGAATGGGAGGCAGAATTCTGGGGGGCCCTGATCCCTGGGGGCTCCTGGGGCAGGGAAGGCCACCACGCAGGACAGGTAGGCATTCGTGTTGTCACCTGGCGACTTTGTGCAGGCCTAGTGGCCCTGGAGCCGGGGAGCCCCCCTGGGCTGGGCACCCGGAGGCTGCCAGCACACAAGCCAGGTCCTGGGTCACCATCCTGGCCTCGGGACCCCACCTGGCAGAGGGCACGCTGATCACCCAGGGAAGGTCCGAAGTGGGGTGAGATCAGGGAGCGCTGGGCTCATTCCACCTGGGGTCACTCCAGGGTGAACCCCCAGGGCACCTCCCCCATCCCTTTGACTTCCTTCCTCCCCACCGCGAAGGCTCCTGGGCTTGCACCACAGTGAGGAGAGGCATTGCCCAAGGTGTGGGCACGGTCCTGAAACCTCCAGCGATTTCCTCATCACCAAGGCAGGGAGGGAAGGGCCGTGCTCAGGGCCTCGCAGCCTCTCACTTCCTCCTCACTGCAGGGGCCACAAGGAGACAGCGGGGCCGGTCTGGGTGCAGGGCAGGAGCACCTACGAGTGGCGACTCCGTTAGAAGCACCCCTGGCAGCCCCGCAGCCCGCGAACGCTCAGACCCACTTCCAGGGAGTAGGGGAGGCAAGTCTGCAGGTGGGAAATGCCACCACCTCCACCCCTTCCCAGCAGGGCAGCTCTGAACCTGCTGGCAGGCGGGGGAGCCCAGGAGGACCCAGCGCTGGGCTCCTCCTTCGTGCATGGGCCTCGTCACTGCACCCAGGACTGTGCAGAACCACGGGGGACACCAGGTGGCCTTCCTGGGCAGCCATCTGCTCACATGGTTAGGGCCTTGCAGCTGTCTGTCATGAAATCACACAGGAGGACACCTTGAAGAAGGAGGCCAGATCCCTACGTAGCTCACGCCTGAGACACCTGAGACGTGCAGTTCAGGCTGTGCCCCGGCCTCGGTGCCACTTCCCCTCCACTCTGGTGGAAACACTGGAGAAGGGTTAACGTAACACATCTTCCCTCATGCAGCCCTTGGTGTTTTTTTTTTTTTTAACATTTATTTATTTAATTGAAGGGCAGAGTTACACACACACACACACACACACACACAGCTTCCATCTGGTGACTCACTCCCCCAAATGACCGTAACAGCCAGGGCTGGGCCAAGTGGAAGCCAGGAGCCTGGGACTCCGTTCAGGTCTCCCCCGCGGCTGTAGGGGCCTAAGCACTTGGGTCATCATCCACTGCTTTCCCAGGAACTTTAGCAAAGAGCTGGATCGGACGTGGAACAGTCGGCACTCAAACTGGCACCCATATGGGATGCCGGTAAAGGCACCTGCGGTTTTACCCACTACACCACAGTACAGCCCCAGCCAGATTCACCGAGATCCTACAGCTCCAAGCGCTGCCTCCCTCATGGTACGATTCAGTTCCCATGACGGGTGACAACAGACTGGAACCCCAGAGTACCTGAGCGACTTTAGAGACCACGTCAGCACCTTGATCAAGAGACGGAAGAGGCGCAGCAAGGGCACAGAGCACGCCCAGTGTCACACAGCTCCAGCCCAAGGCAGCCACCCAGCACCCCCGGCCCAGGATCCAGAGCTGCAGCTCTGAGCAGTCAGCACCCGCCCGGGGTCAGTGACAGCCCTCTGGGGTCCAGGTCCCCCGCCCATCTGTCCCACCGCAGGTGGCTCTAGAGCCAGTCAGGCCCAAGGAAAATGTTTTACCCATGGGGCCTGGGTCCAGCTTTTAGTACCACCCACCTTCTGTCCCCTGGGCTTGGCAGTACCCAGGCCTCCTGGTGGGGGTCTTGCCTTTGTTATTTTGCATTGGTCACACGTCGTGGTTGGTGTGGGGCAGGATCCTGGCAGGAAACAGTTGGCACACTCAGTGCTTAATGGCTGAGTGTCTGGAGAGGGTGGTGAGGCACCCAGAGGCAGCAGCCCACATGCCCAGAGCGGGCAGGGAGGCGGTAACACTGCTGGGGCCCAGCAGGAGAAAGGCAGCCATGGCAGGATCGCGGTGAGGAGCAGAGGGAGTGTGGGAGCCTTGACACCACCTCCCTCCTCCCCGCTCCTGCCCCCTGCCGGGCATCCCGTCAGCCAAGCCCGGCTGGACACCAGCCAGCAAGGGAGCCCCCATCAGATGGTCCACGGGGACCATTCTCCCAGCTGGAGCGAGGTGGAGGGCGGGGGCGGCCCAAGGCCTGTTGCTTTTGTCCACATCCTCCTGTGTTTGCGAAATGCATGTCAACCATTTCTGGTCTGGTCATTTTATAGAGATTTTAGTGGACGCAGAATGGTACCATTTGTGGGGAACGGTGTGGCATTTTGACAACTGTATACAGCTTGTGACGGTCACATCAGGATGATTGGCACTCCCAGCCTCTCCGACATAAGTCCTTTAACTCTGTGCCGAGAACATTCAAAACCCTCTCTCGGGGCTATTTTGAAATACACAGCTGTTGTCTCTAGCTGGGCCTTGGGTGCTGACCCCTGCATTCTGATTGGCTGAGTGTCAGCCAGAGATGGCCAATCCCTGAAATGTCTTTCCATGAGGTCATGTTCTGTGAGTTTTTTCACAGCGCCACAAATTCTGCCCCCCACACAGAGCCCCTCCTCTTTCTTCCATTTATATGAATAATGAGCGAAGCTGAAGTCCTGCATTGGTCTGAGTGCCTCCAGTCTTGCCTCTTGTCACCTGGCAGCCAGGCCCTGGCCCAGGCAAAGCTCTGGCCTGGGGAAACCATGGATGTTCATCCCAAGCACCAATTTTAATCACTAGATCACTATGTTGACAGGGATCCCAGACTTGCTGCTGGCCTCAGCAGTGCCGTGATTGATTAGTGATGTCTGCCACAGGCACAGACTTAGCAGTGTTGGTGCAAGTGCTATCTTGGACCTAAACAGTTGTCGGCTTGGCTTTTGGTGGTGCCTCTCTGCTTTCTTCCTCTACCAGGCAGTGACTCCACTCCCCCCACCCCATGTTTTCTTCCTCCTTGTCCTGTCCGTTTTGGATCATGCTGAGCAAGTTCAGCCCGGGGGAACAGCCATCAGGCCCCCCTTTAGTTCCTCCCTGACCAAAGGCACCTGCCCATGATCTCCTCACAGGCCACCACCCACGTGTACGTGACCATTGTGGACGAGAACGACAACGCACCCGTGTTCCAGCAGCCCCACTATGAGGTGCTGCTGGACGAGGGCCCCGACACCATCAACGCCAGCCTCATCACCATCCAGGCGCTGGACCTGGACGAGGGGCCCAACGGCACAGTCACCTACGCCATCGTGGCAGGCAACATCATCAACACCTTCCGGATCAACAGACATACGGTCAGCAGTTGGCGGCAGGCCCCGGGGCGGAGGCGGGGGACAAGGATGGAGTCCAGGGGAGCGGGGAGGGGGAGCCGGGGTGAGACGGGGCCTGGTCCATCGATCCACCCTCACCGCCTCCCTGTGTCCCCAGGGGGTCATCCGTGCCATCAAGGAGCTGGACTACGAGATCAGCCATGGCCGCTACACCCTGATGGTCACCGCCACAGACCAGTGCCCCATCCTGTCCCACCGCCTCACCTCCACCACCACGGTGGGTGGGCGGGGCTCAGCCCCAATGCGCATGCCAGGGGCCGGGGCCCAGAGCACTCTCCTGGGGAGGATGGGTGCCAAGGCTGTCCTCGGGAAACACCCAAATCAAGGAGCTCGGCCTCTCGCACTCTGAGGTCACCGCACCTCCCCGGGGCATTGTCCTGATCAGACAGGTGACAGCTTCTCCACGGGAGAACACAAGCTCCACTCAGACCAGCAGGGACCCGAGTCCCTGCCCTGGCGCTCCCGGCTGTGAGAAGGAGACCCTGGGCGGGTCTCCGAGCTCCCCGAGACTCAACGTCTCTGACGTCTTCCTCTGTGAAATGGGACAATGTCTCGGGAGTGGGCGGAGCAGTTGAGGTCGTGGGATGATAACGCCGCCGCAGTGGATAGAAGCTCTTAGCAACGTGGCCGCCAGAACCCGTCCCCACGCGTGGCTTCAAAGGGCCTCCCACGTGCACTGTGGTTCCGGCACTGGTGCCACGAGGCGGGGTTACCAGGCCC